AACTCATTGACCGAGTTAATCTAAATTCGTTAACTACGGGTCATTCCACTAAAGACCCGCAGTTGAACTCTTCTCACTGCAGAATGTTTTCATCTCCATAGATATACGACCATTAATGACGAGTCAATCCTTCACGAGTGCTCGTAACTCAAGTTGGGTCAAATTACCGTTTTACCCCTGAGTTACATCTTACTCCTTAAACACTACTGCTCCTCTAATGAACAACCCGGTTATGGTCCAACCAATAACCGGAAGTCCCTCTGGGCCAATGAGAGGGTGGGGCCCCTTGTTCAAGTTCTGGAGTCAGCATTTAAGGGAACACTCATCTACTCCCCTAAAGTCGGGGAGGAGTGAATTTCATCTTGTGAAGTTATGTTCCCAGCTCCCCACTCAGTCTCGTCCCCAAAATGGTAAGAATGTTGAGTCGGTGACTCGGGCCACTCTCACCCATACAAATCAAAGGACGAGCCCTCACGGGCAGGAGTCCATAACTCACTCAGGATTGAGAATGAGTTGCCTGGTCATCCTAAGAAATAACGATCTATTAGTTAACGGTGTTACATCTAAAGATTGTCTATTTTGCGGTCTGGTATTATACAAACTCATTGTACAGGATACCCCCACTTGCATGTCTCCACACGAACGACATGGATCGAGTCGTCTGTAACCTTTACAGAGTGGGCTGTATCCATAGTGTTGCCAGGATAAGGTACCCAGCCTTATCCATATACTATAGACCCTTTAGGTTATTCACAGGATATTATACATTCATATATCAGGGGTATATCAAATATATACTCCGTATATCAAATATATACCCGATATATATACTGTCCCAATTACATTCAAATAACCTTGGATGTTTAGTTTATTGGATTGGACAATGCAATGCTATGTTTCAACAACAAATTTATTGAATAAAACTTTATTGAATATACATTTGTTTTTACATAATACAAACTACGAGTTTAGGACAACAAACCCAACAGAAAGGTTCTTCAAAGGTAAAGAAAAATTTTCTTGCCCTGTTTTTCTTTAGTTTTTCTTTTTCTTTTGCAGTTCTTGTTCCTAAAAATTCAAGAACAAAGATTGTCATTTCCGATGCGGGATTAATGTTCCATCACCATTTTCAGACCTTAGAGGTCCGCTCCAATAATCCCGTCATAGGAAAGGAAAATATTGAAGCAAAACCTAAGAAACCCTTATCCATTTCTGGAGTTTGCCTTGGTTTCAATTCCATACAATGGACCATCTGTAGGGATAATCGCTCCAGGACGACACGTAGGTCATGTATGAAATCTCATGATACAAATTAATGGTGGAGACCGTAAAATGTGTTATCACACGTCTATCTCCTACTTACGATGAATACTATTTACATTCACCTCGATATTGAATCATGCAAACATCTTTGTAGGGAGACCACACCAGGGCAACACGGGGCCGAGCATGGAACTCATAGTGTGAACATTAAGGAGAAATGTGAGAGAAAAAAGTATGTTATATATACCTTGTATATAAAAAAAATATACGTGGTATATTACACATTCTCTTTTGCTCTCACTTAGTATTCTAAGACTGGGGTATATTACTTAGGTAAATTCCACTTAAATGAAATTATCTAAGTGAGTTTTTAGTCGGTCCAATATATCCATTTATACTGGAAGTTGTACATCAATGTTTTAGTTTATCAAACGTTTTAATAAACTAATGACATTATTGCATGCATATAAAATATTGACTAATTCAACCCCTAGGTCGGTTTCCTAGTAGAGGTATTCCCTTACGGTCAACTTAAATACCTTAACCTAGACARAAATTTCTTTAGACAGGGTTCCCTTATAAGCAATATTTTATATTTAGTATTTTATTATATCATTTTAAACCTAGTTAAAACAAAATAAAAAAACTACCCCTAGTCATATTAGAAGATGCAATCTAATTAATTTTAAACCTCTTTCAAATTAATTAACCTAGACACTATGTTTGCATGCTACTTTTTATTATAGATTTTAATTTCTATCTACCAAAATTTTATAACTCTTAAAAATTTTAAGAAATTAAACCTATAAATATGCATTGACAACATACATTAATATAACAATTATATTAACTAAAGTAATGTCATGCTCAATTCAACTTTATGTTAATCTAATTAATATAACACTTATATTAGTCAATTATGAAAATTAAAACACGCATCCATACATTCATACAATTATAACTATATGATGCATGATTATACATACATACATACTATATACCAAATATACATATGATACATGTATCCTAGAGTAAGATTTTAAAACTATATGGCATATATTATTCAATATACATTTAATTAAAATATACATTCAAAATGCATAAAATAATCAATAACAAAGTTGGACTGAATTTTGACATCCGAAGAAAGCAACAAAAATAAAAAAAAGGAAACAAAGCACGAAACAGCCTTCGAACCACGAACCAGCACGTCGGAAACACCCAGGAAAGCGCCGCAACGCCAAAGGGCAACGTTGCGACGCTGCTAGAGCAAAAAACTAGCAGCTGTAGTGCTACGACGCTGTAGCACAGCATCGTGGCGCTACAAGTGTAGTGCCATGGCGTTATCTGCTGTTCTTCATGCTTCGTCTTCTTCGCTGTTTTTTGCAAAAATCCGCTCAATTCGATGCCACAAACAACATTCGAGTGACCAAAACTTACAGACTCGATACAGAAACTAAATGTCCAAACCAACGGGTCCTTACATGGCCGAATTATGAAGAAAAACGCTATCTATATGCTAAAATTCGTAAACATCCAACCCGCAAAACCCATATTCTGAAAATGCATAATTACCCACCATTTTATATGATTTTGATCCTAAAAAATTTAGAACATAAACTTGGCTCTGATACCAATTGTAAGGACGTTAATCCCGCCGCGGAAACAGAGATCTTGTTTTTGAATTTTGAGGAACAAAAAAAACACAATTGAAAAAGAAAACACAGGGGATAAGAACCTACATTTGAAGACTATCTTCAAGAATTCATCAGTAAATCCGTTCACAACCATTGATCTTCTCGGTATTCATTGGGAACGACGATCTTGCTTGTGGCAGCAATAACTTGAAAAGCAAAAAAGAAAATTGAGTGAGAAATTTTGTTTAGAGAAATGCAACAGAATTTTTCTTAGGATTCCTGTGTTCTGTTTTTGCAGAACTATTCTACAAAATTAAAACCAACATGACGTGGGGAGTTACCCCACGTCATATAACTTCCCAACTACCCTACAATTTTGCAGGGGAGTTTTAATTAATCAAATATAAAGATGATTAATAATTAATAATTGATAATTGATATATATAAAAATCAATTAATCTAATTAATTCATTAGTATTAATTTATATATATATATATATATATATATTAATCAAATAAATAATTAACACTTAATTATTTATTAAAAAAATAGAATCATATTCTAAAGCATTTCTTTCGTATTACCTTAGTTGTAATGTACATCTTATGCACATTATTTTTAACCTATAGTTTTACTATGAATCATATTCATATTAATTTCATTTAATCTCATTCAAATATTCTCTCTCATAATATATAGTCTTAAATTTGAATCTTTATCCAAAATTATATAATGTATCAAATATACAATATATACATTCCGTTATATAATTTAAACATTTCAAATCATTTCATAATTCTTGATCCTTGTTTTACCCATTTTGAGCTAGCAAAGAGATCTAATGGACCTACAGATTAGAAGCTCCAATGACCGAGTTAATCAACATTAATTAACTCCATTAAAGACCCGCAGCTACACTCTTCTCACTGTAGAATATTTTCGTGTCCACGTATATACAACCATTAATGGCAAGTCAATCTTTCACGAGTGCTCGTAACTCAATCTAAGTCAAATTACCATTTTACTCCTGAGTTGCATCTTATTCCTTAAATACCACTGCTCCTCTAATGAACAACCCAATTATGGTCCGACCAATAACCGGAAGTCCTTCTCAGGCTAGTGAGAGGGTGGGGCTTCTTATTCAAGTCCTGGTGTTAGCATTTAAGAGAACACTCATCTACTCCGTTAGAGTCGGAGAGGAGTGAATTCTATCTGGGGAAGTTATGTCCCCAGCTCCCCACTCGGTCACCCATACAGGTCAAAGGACGAGCCCTCACGGGCAGGAGTCCATAACCACTCAAGATTGAGAATGAGTTGTCGCTTATCCTATGAAATAACAATCTATTAGTCCACGCTGTTACCTCTAAAGATTGATTATTTCACGGTCAAATCTTTTACAAACTCATTGTATAGGATACCTCCATTTGCATGTCTCCACACGAACGACCTGGATCGAGTCATTTGTAACATTTACAAAGTGGGTCGTATCCATAGTGTTGCCAGGTTAAGGTACTCAACCTTATCTATATACTATAGACCCTTTATGTTATTCTCGGGACATTATCCACATGTATATCGAGGATGTATCAAATATATACCTAGTATATATACTGTCCCCGGTCACATGATAATAACCTTGGATGTTTAGTTTATTGGATTTGGACAATGCAATAAGAAAACATAACTTTATTGAATATAAATTTGTTTTTACATTATTACAATCTACGAGGTTAGGGCAATACACCCACCACCCCTGCTAGCTCGTTAAACTCTGCAACGAACAATAAATTGGAAGAAAATTAAATATCATTCAATTTAACATTAAAATATTTAATTTCGCTTTTAATAATAATGGAATATTACTTGGTTGGTCTCATGGAAGAGTCCATGGACTGAAACACATGAGATGAGAACCAATACATTAATTAAGAAAATTTAAAATAATTTTAATTTTCATAATTAAATTAGAGAATTAATTAGTCTACTAGGTTTTCCCCCACAGTTTATATAAAGAGACTTAAAGGCAAAACCTTAGGTATGCAAATGTCAATGTTAATGCTCTCTTCCTCTCCTCCCTAATAGCCACCAAGGAAGAATGTTTTCTTCCTCTTTCTCCCAAGAGGTGACCACACATTGGTTCGTTGTAGATCGAGGATAGTTGGGAATATCTCGTGCAGTCCATCATCTACACTATAAAGGTAAGGGATTAGGTCCTCTTTGTTTTTTGAAAATATTTATAATTAAAAGTTGCCATCGAGATCTGTTAAATCGGTTTTATAACGTGTGCTTCCGTTGCGCCTAGCAGTCGAATTCATTTCAGTTTATTGCATCTCCCTCAACCTTCACCACAAATCCCACTCGCCACCCCATCGAAATTCCCTCCACTGGCACATCTCTTCCTCAACCTCCGCCACTAGTCATCTATCGTCTAACTCTTTGGCTATCTCTTTATTTTGCCGATTTCACCCACTACTGTCTATCTTCCTCGTTGGATTTCATACTGTTCTCTCTGCTTTCTGTTTGATTGTGCCTCTCCACTTTCGGCTTTGAGTTTTGTTTTCATATATATATATATATATATTAAGGGTGTTCATCGGTCGGTTGGATCGGTTTTCAGGCAAAACTCCTGCCGACCAAACGAAACAGTCGTTCTGTCAGTCGATTTTCGTCCAACCGACCTTTTTTTTAATTTTGCAGATTTGAGCAGTGGGTCTGTGGTATGGGTTTCGGTGGATCTAAACGATGAGGCTGTGGTGGATCTGGGTGATTGGATTGCGGTGGGGGATTGACTATTGAGAATAAGAGAAGAGAAGGAAGGAGAACAAAAGAAATATGGAGTAGAAATAGAGAAAGAAGAGGGAGTGGAAGGAAGAAGAAGAGAAATTAGAACAATAGAAGAAACAAAAGTGAAGAGAGATGAGAGAGGATTTTGAAAACATGAAGAAATTAAAGAGGAAATATGAACGATGAAAAATCAGGAGGAGAGACGAGGGAGGGTTTTGAAACAAGAAAGAAATTGAAGAGGAGAGGGAGAGTAATTAATAAGAGATTTGACTGCACAAAATATAAAAACTAAAGGCCATCCAGAGGGGTAAAAAATGAAAAAAAAAATTGATAAAGATAAGATCAACGGGAATCACCAGAAATCAGCATGATTCACACGGAATAATGGTGAAAAGACACCATGTGTGCCCCGTGATTAACGAGATACTAATAAATAATTCTTTTTTTTAATTTATAAATACACCAGTCAGTCGGTCGGTTTGTGTAGATTTATTTTAACCGACCAACCGATCGGTCGGTTTTGAAAATTCAAAACCAACTCCGACCGACTAGGGGCAAAAAATCGACCGATCGACCTATACTCAGTCAGTTTGGATCGGTCTGGTTGATTTTTCGGTCTGGCCTGTGCACCCCTAGTGTGTGTGTATATTCGAATATAAATATCTAAGTTTATATTTGAATATATACTCAACTATATTTAGTGTTTTGTTTAGTTTAAGTTATGGTTTAATCGAACCAATTGAGTCTCTATGACATATGAACCACCAAACCCATAAATTTTAAAAAATTCCTTGAATTTCTTTCAAATAATTTCAGATCTCGCAGATTTATCTAAATCTTTCTTAATTAATTAGGCATCCACGATATGTGAACTTACTAACCATTTATTTGAAAGTTTCATCTCTTGCAGAGTAAAGTTTTAGCATTTTTTGTAGTTACAGTGAAGTTAAAAATAGAGTCAAAAGCAAGGTCAAGCCGAAGATTACTTGATGCTGGAGTGATTGGAAAGAATAACTCAAGCAAGGATTCAGAAACTATATCATTACATATGGAACAATAGGTATAAAATACTATATGCATCCAAATGTTAAAGGTTTACTAACTTTCCAGGCTTTTCAATATAGGAGAATACTACAAAAGACATGACAAAGACTTCATAATATGAAGCATGAAATATAAAAAAGCGAGGAAGAGAGAAAGAAAAGGCCACATCAAAATCGAAGAACCAAAGAATCGACAAAAAGATACATAAATATTTTTCATCTATTCTAAAGAATTTATATGGGTTGACATGTAATCTAACATTTCATAGGGGACCAAACAAACAAAAGAGATTATGTCAATATGTAAATAAAAAGGGAAAAACAAAAGGGAAAAAGAGACAAATGAAAGCAAAGGCATACATTGTAGAAGTTGAAGTATTTGTTTTTCTTTTTTTTTTTTTGTGCAAATGATGTTATCTAATTTTGTTATTTTTTTTGAAGTCATCAAGATATAATATAGATGAAAGGAAGTTAGAATCAAAAAATCAAGAGGAATCGGATAGTGGGAAGGAGACTGAATTAGACCAGAAGGAATTGAAACCGATAAAGATAAGAGACGTGAGTATGCCAAAAAATGTATGATTATTATCAATTTTGGTTGTGAATTCTTGGTAGTATTTTTTTTTTTATCTTGCTTTCTTCTTTGCAAATAGCTAATAAAGAAAAACTACAAAATAAACCAGTTTTTTTTTTTTTTTTATTGGTAGTAAACCAAAAATTGGCAATTTTGACAATTTCTTCTATTCACTATCAAATAGAAATCCAAGTAATCAAAAACTTTTAAAACTACATATTTATTCTTTCTATATAAATTGTGTAGATGATTGTTAAAAAGGAAGTAAAAGAGGACAAAATTATTGGTAGAAATGAAAAACACAAATTGCAAGGAAGGGGATCCACAAACACAATGATGGCGAAGATGAAGAGGTATGTTGTTTGTTGTAATATGTAGTAAGTACACTATAATCATTAGTCGATAGCTTGTTTTTATTCATGTAATTTGGAGTAGAACACTGTAATTGTTGAGTCGGCAACATATTGTATTTATTTGAATTTTTTTGATTTATTAGGAAGATGTGTACCTAATGTCAATACCAAGCGAGCACAACCATTGAATATAAATTTACATATCAAATATGATATTATGACCATTATTAGGGCCAATTCGGGTGAAAGATTAATAGAAAGGTTTAGGGGTACATGTTTTGGACAATTTTTAGATTTCAAAACAATAAAGCAACTATCCCAATTATTTTTGCATATGATACAACGATAATGCAAACCTAAAAGAGCAAATGAGTTGAACTTTTTTATAGGACAAGTGAAAAATTTTAGACTTAGAGAATTTGGTCTAATTACTGGTTTAAATTGTGGACTAATGCCTGAAATAAACCGAGATAATATCAAAGGAGGGTAAGAATTTAAAAATGTTTATTTTTAGGGAGAGCAGGATGTGAGCAAGAAATACCTGAATATGGGATTCAACGTAAATAGGAATGCTCCAAGTAATGACAAGCTGAAACTAGACACGCTTTACTGCTTGGTAAGTTTTCCATTGCCAAGACAGGAAACAGTTTTGTAGATATGAACCATATAATAATGATAGATGATGAAGAGTTGTTCAATAGTTATCCATGGGACAGGGTCATTATTCACATTTTAATTGAATACATAGAGAAGGTGGTGGTAAGTAAAGGATCAACAAGAATAACTATGAATGGTTTCATATATGCTATTTTAGTGTGGGCATATTAAGTAATACTCACACTAAATAAACCGTCAACCTTCTATGTGCGAAAAGTAGATACAATGATTTTTAGAATTCTAAATGGTCAATAGACACCAACTAGAATGGAAAGAGTTAGAGGACTCAAACTTTTATATGTCTTATTTGTTTACAAATGATTATAAATTATTTATTTATAGAAATATAACAAATTTAAATTATACTTGGAGATTGTACCGGTGCGAGGGAACTGAAAATGTCTTACATTGCTCCATTTTTGCAATAGTAGTAAAATTTAAGGAGAGATAAGGAGAAATAACCTCAACATGAGTGTTGTAGAAGGCGTAGTCGACTTGACGCTAAAAAATGAGAAATAGTCCTTCATACATAACTCTGAAATCATGGAACATCTTGACATGCTCCAACAAACCTAAGAATCGATGATGAAAAGAATGGATGAGTTGCTAAGTACCATAAATCTAATGGTTGACTACATGAAAAGTAACTTAAACAGAGAAGATTGAGCCATAGGAGGATAATTTGTGAAAAAAGTGGACAACATACGCAGTGGACTTGGTGATATGTATAAGGTAAATATAATAAATTACAATGAAATTGTGAGCATAATTGTATGTTGTTGACATTTGTGATATTTTGAAGTAGGTAATGGTATCTACAAAAGAGCTAGATGATCTGGAGGTAGAAGAAAGAGAAAAAAATGACGGAAAAAGACATGGATGACCATAAAACACATCATTAAAAGAACCACAAAAATGATGATGAAGATAATAATTTTGGTGGAAAAAGACAACAAAGGACAAAGTGTAACATTTATGTAGATATGTCACTCCAATCACAACTGAAAAGCAAGGAAGAGAGAAACATCAACAATTAAACACACACCAAAGGTAAAAA